TCAGTCAAAACAAGTCAGAGATATGGCACGAGAACCACTATCATTAAAACAAAATGGCCGCCAGCCGGCCATTTTGAATATTATCTGAAAAACAAAATTATTTGCATGATGGGCTCATAATGTCTAATGTATATACAAAGTTTGAACAAAATCCATCTGTAAACAGCCGAGAAATGCTTGATTTTGATGATTTTTAGCACAAAAATGGCCGCCATTCGGCCATCTTAAATCAGATCGTGAAACAAATTGACCTGCATATGTATAATATCATGTGTGATGTATGTGTGAAGTTTGATTGTGATTGGTCCAGGCATTTCTAAGATACAGGACCGGACGCACGCACAGACGCACGCACGCAGGCACGCACGCACGGACACACGGAGGTCAAAACATAAGAGTGCAACTTCTGGGGGAAAATCCATATTGTATAGTGACGTTGATTAATTATGAGAAAGTTGTGTTGACTGACTATAAAGAACTACATAAACCACGATCTGGGAAAAAGGGCGAATAAAAAAAGGGTTTCCATTGCCAAGCAGATTACCGCGCGGATCATGTATATCGAGTGTAAGGGCAGGGGCGGATCGAAGATTCTGGAATAGGGGGGCGATAAGTTGGCCTAAGGCCAAGTTCGCGAGCGCCGATGGCGTGAAGCCCTGTTGGTTGTTAAAAATAGGGGGGCCTCGGCCCCATCTAAATCCGCCAATGAAGGGTGATAATGTTTTTGATAATTGAATCATCCGTGGCTCTGTCTTCAATTAAAAGATCAATGGGGAGAAGGCATTGTGCACAATACTGATATATCCTGGCTATGCATGCATGTTTCAAGTGCCCCCGGGGTGGGGAGCGAGGGAATAGACGGCGGACCTTTGCTTGTGATCGAAGATGATCACCTCCCGATCATGGCTCTCCGGTTATCGCCGTGACTTATTTTCCACGTCGTGACGAAAGGCAAGGTATTACTCGCCCATTTCACACATTATTTACACCTCCACCGACAGCGATCCTCCCTTTATTCCCAAAAAGTTAGCATGCACTTTGAAGTAAATATTTTTTCCCTCGGTTCGATAGCATAGAGGGAAAATACTGTCTTCAATGTTACGGTGACAGTATTTGGTGAGATGGGTGGGGCAATGAGATAGGGAATAGCGGGAAGCAGTAGGAAGTTAGTCAGTCTAGTCAGCAACTCAGCAGCTCACAGACGTTCAAGTTCAATTACATCAAATATTAATTTTAAAAAGTTCATTTAGTTTTGCCCTTATGTGATAACAGTGCAGTCCGACACTGTCCCTGTACTATTTACTGCATTGCTTTCGGACACAATTCCAGAGAATTTCCTGCAATATAAAGTATAGGGTTCTGTTTTTTTTTTTCTGGGTGGCGGTCATAGGATAACAGGGAGACCACAACTAGTAACAACCCACCCTGGTAAAAGTGCAATGTAACATTTTTTTCTGCCCACGTCTGTAAATAAGACTGCCGCATCTCTGGTTCATCCATAAAGCTGTCGCATCCATCATTATTGAATAAATGAAGTGTAATTGAATTTACTCAATGGAATGAGAGTATAGTTAAGACCTCAGAGAACTGACTGCTGTGTCGACTGTGGCGAACTTCTTGAAATACCGCCCTCCAGCGGTAGCATTGTTGCAAAAACAGGCGCATGCGCAAAAGCTTAACCGTCTCACCGGATCGAAGTGATACATTCATTTCACCGTGTCTGTTTTTACATATATGAATGACATATGAAATTGTTTTGTTTTTTTCAGAAAATATTCAATAAAATATATAAAAATATAGTACGACACTTCAAAGTGTTGAATATTAAAATACAACATAAAAAAATGATCGACCCGTTGGACTAATTTCTTTGTCGCTGTGTGGTATTTGTATTGTGGTAGTTACTCGGCTTAGTTACGAACAAACAGATTTCGAGTCACCATTGATCAGCTGAAACACGAACTTCAACATTTTGTTAATAACATCGTCACTTTAAAGGCTAATTGACGTTTCTGGTATTACTAGAAATGTCTGAGGTAAGGATTAGATTGTGAATTTTAAACTGGGTCATGTGTAGTGGCCAGTACTCCTTTAGTTGTCAGCCTCGCAGCTCAACAACAAATTACTGTGATCTACTAGTCTAGTTTAATAACATTGCTTTGGGAACGCGAAGCATTCGCTTATTATAGTCGATACTATCATTTATATGTACGCACTTAGTTAATATTCGATTGTATCTATTCTTAAATTAATTAATGATTGGTATTTTTAGGATAAAAAGAAAGAACCGTCGAAGGAGGAGCCCAAGGGGGACAAGACAGCTCTCGAGGAAAATGCGTTCGAGGCGCTGGAGAAAGACTTCCAGGAAGTCTTGAACGAGCTGATGGGCGACAGAAGTTTGGAGAAATTTCGTATGGAATATGAGAAATTGCACCGTGCGCTGAAGAAGTCTCATGAAAGTGAGAAACGTCTTATGCAAAAATGTCGAGAGTTGAACGCCGAAATTGTCGCAAACTCTGCCAAAGTGTCCACAGCGCTGAAACTGTCCCAAGAAGACCAGACAACAATTGCCTCTCTCAAAAAGGTTAGTGGATGGCGGTATTTAATTTAATTAATTGTAACTAGTAGCGTATATATCCATTATGGTTTTTTCATGTGTAAATTTTGCAATTGCTGTTAAAATTCATCATTACTGTTACTGTATTAGGGGTGTAAATTTGGCAGAATTCGGTCACCGATATCCTGAAAAGATGTATGGGCCCTGTACTGATTCAGCTTCACATCAGTTATAGATATTCCCTCAATCAATATCGTCCAATCAAAATTACTCAAATGCATCAATTGACAGTATCGTATCATTTGCCCATTTCATAAAAAAATTACACAACATCAACACTTTCATTGGCCATATCAAGGTTACTGAAAAAAGTCTAAATATTATCACCAAAATCTAGTTAATTTAAGTTTTACTGCGCTTCCGTCAGTGCATGGAAGCCCAATTGTCAAAAATACCTTTCTTCCTTATAGTTATATAATCTGTAGAAATTTTTTGAAAGTTATTTAATAAAAATATATTAATTTTTGTAATAAAAATCTGACCATTAAGTAACTTGCCTATGAAAATAACTCATCTTAAAGCTTCCTAGTCATCGTGTCACACCGCATTGTTATATATGGGTTTTATATGCATTCAATCAATGCATGTAAAATTCATTGTTTACATGAAAATTTAATTTGTGCTACATGACGACGATGTTTTAGGAGAACATAAAGTATTTATCAAATCAAAACACTGATGCTGTAATCAACTATTCTTTGGTGCTATATGTATAAAATTATTAACTCTCGATTAATGTAATTTGTTTAGGAAATTGAGAAAGCATGGAAAATGGTGGATGCATCTCATGAGAAAGAACAACGTGCAAGGGAAACTATTCAGTCTTTGAAGATGGAGATTGCAAATTTGAGCAAGCTAGTAGAACAAGGTGCTGGTCTCTCAATGGGTCAAGAACACAGGTAAATAATATTACAAATAGAAGATAATATTTGGTAATTGTAGTCCTAAATAACTATTAAAAATAGCTAGACGTTTCGAGCAATGGCTCTTTATCGATAACATAGAAGAAAATGTTAAAACGTACAGGTAATATTACTTTTATCTTCTCACCAATTACAATTGCTTGCTTTATCTAGCTGCAGTTTATTTTGTCTGAAAGTAGTAGTTTCACTTAGTTTTATTTTCTGCTGAACTTATCTCTTCCATAAAAATACAGTATAATACAGCATAGTCTGAAGTACTTTGTTTGTTTGTATGTACATGTATGTACACTACATTTTATGAATTTCAAATGATTACAAACCGCCTTAGATGAATATTTTCCGTATAGAATCTAGAATCTACAATAGTCAATGTGACCTTTGACCCTTTCACGATTATTTTCCAGCTAATAAATTTATACTGGATTTTAAATGCCAAAATGTGATGATAATATTACTTGTACTATTCAAATTATATTCAACATGTATTTTAGACCGATTTATTTGAAGCTTTTTGAATAAATTAAATAAGATATTCTATGTTAGTTAGCCAAGATTGGGAAAGACCCATAGTACCGGTAATAGATTTTACCGAAAGGCTTAGCTAACCAATGAAAACATCTTCTTTTGATTTGAATGTAGTACAATGGTTTTACGAGACAAATATTTTATAAATTGAAATGTTATAAAGAGCTATTGCTTTAAACATCTATCTAACGATTACCAATCTACTGACAGTCTATGTACATTGATCGTCATAGATCATCATAGTATTACAGTTCACTGTTGTAGTGTGGCATCTACATGTGGTGGTCATTTCTCATGCAATTCTTTTATAGTTTTAGCTGTAACCAGCCCTATTGAATGAAATGAAGTTGTAATTGGTTGGAATTGTTTAGACTTGCAGCAATCTCAAATGTTAAGTCCCAGCAGTGTTTGATGACATAGATTTTAGCCATTGTACTTTATTATCTTTCAAGTTATTTAGTTACTGCGTAGATACATACATTTTCCCACATTTCTGACCAGTGTTCGAAATTAACTGAAAATCATAAAAGGCCCGAAGGACCTATGTCAAATTGAAACTGTAGGTCCTTCTAGCTAACTGTAGGCCCTGATATTTAACAAAGACTAAACGGATAATACAAGCTTGCAATTGCAAAACCTTTATTTACTAATTAATCAGATATATTATCTGCAGCCTCAAAGAAGTCATCATCATTTCTTTCATCGTCACTAAACTCATCAAAATCTTCAGAAAAAACACTATCACGATCATTCAGCAAGCTTGAATTAAGACTCGTATGCCCAGGTCGATGAGTGATGCCATTTGTTGATCAAACGTGCAAGAAAACGCAATTTTGAAACAATTCTGGAGTTACTATCGATATTTATTATATATTTGGTCTTACTATCATACTTAATAATGGAACGTTTTTTTTAAATATAAATTTATGGTCGGTCACAAGGAATGATGGTTTTTCACAGCTCTAGGCCCTTTACACCCACTGTCGGCGTGAGGCCGACGGACCGACGTTAATTTCGAACACTGTTTCTGACATACAAAATACATATTTTGCTGTGCAGTTGATGGTTGACTTATTGATTTCTCTCTATTGCAGCGTTAATGAATTACTCAAAGCTAAGGAAGATCTCACCAAAGAAAGGGATGAACAGTTGAATGAGATTGTGAAGCTACGCGAAGCTTTAACTGAGGCTAATAATAGAATGGCCAAGGCTGAGAAAGATAAAGATGATGCAGAATCTAAGATAGCTGAGGTAGGGAGAAAAGAGAGTGGGGTCAAAGAGCAAATAACAGATCATAATTTTGAATTTGATGTCCAGGTTTTCAACATTTCATCAATCTCACACTCACACTCTTTGCTGTTTTCCTTTTTCAGTTGAACCAAGATATCCAGGTGCGAAGCAATGAAGCCCAGCGCGAGTCTCGTAGAAAAGACAAACTGGAGAGGGAGTTGAAACAATCCAAAGCTGAACAAGAAACCAAAGCGTCTGAAATTAAAACAATGTCAACACAGCTTGGAAAGTACAAGGAGGATGTTTCAAAGTTGGAAACACAGCTGAAGGAGAATAGGGTAGGTTTTTTTTAATTTTAATTCCATAATTAAAGTATGCTGGCTAATCTACAAATATATTCATTTAAGTTTGTTATGTAGGAATTGCCTTTTCATATAGTTTAAGTACCACCAGTGATTTTAGTATTAGTATAGCTACACTTTCAGTGATAATTTCATTCTCACAGTAATGTACTGTAAAGTGATTTTATTTTGTGAAGCAACAAATATCTTGTATCTGTGAGCTAGGATTCTAAAGCTCCGAGTCCCTGCATCTTTGGAGATTTTTTTCCTCGTGGACACCGATAAATCGTGAAAATTCCTGGCAACGAAAATTAAACTGTATACAGTTTTCAGATCACATGAGTAATAACATGAATGTTTGGTAGTATTATAGCTTAAAAGCATCTTATAAATAATGTCACGATTTCTAAAAAACTTTTTTTTTTATTTTTCCTTTTACAGATTCTCTATGAGCGTGCTCAGAAAGATAGCGATATATTGAATGCCCGGTTTACCAAACTGCAGACTGATTACGAGCAACAACTTATTAACGCTGATACACTAGCTCAAGAAAACCAACAGAGAGTTGCTGAACTTAGAGTAAGTATAGTAGCTGCAATTGTGCTGCAACACACCTTGTCTTGTAATTATAATAATAGTATTATGTATTTCTATATGTGTGCTTTTCCAACTGTAAGTGAGTATGCATGAGCACTCTATTATGGAGCAGGTTTTTCAAAATTTTCTTTTTTGCTCAACTTTTAATGTTATTTTATCTTTTGGTGTGCAGGCTAAAGAAGATGAGATCAATGCATTGAAACAGGACACTATTCGTCTTAGTAAGATGCGTGAAACCATCCAGCGTAGACTGCGTTCAGTGGAAGATCAGAAAGCTGAGACTGAACAACAAAAAGAGACTCTAAAGAGTCAGATTGTTGGTCTTGAAAGAGGTAAACATACATATATGATTGCTTTCAAACACAGCTACCAAGAATTATTAGAATTATTTTTTCACTATAAATATGTGAAGATGGTAGTTGTTTTCAAAATTGTTCTATTTCATTCTCACAGACATGAAGTTGATGGTTAAAAATATGATAATGAATGTCATGACTGAATTGATTACAGAGTAGTTTCAATCAGAGCTTGACCTCTGTATTCACTACCAGAATATAGCAAACAACTCTTGACAGTACTCTTGTTGTAGTCACATGTAATATATAATAAACCGTAATAAACCGTGAATGTTGAATGAAGAAAGTATGCTCAATAGAGCTTTCCTTGGCCTCAAAACTACATGGATAGTGTCTGGAAAATTTCACTCTGGTTAATTTAGGCAGGGAGTCAGTGATTTTCATATAATTCAATCCATGTGACCAACATTAAATTATCATATCACATCATGAGTGGCAGTTTACAGTACATTATGTAAACCATGTAGTATCTAAATAAAAAATTGCATTATTGTATACTTGGTCATTTAAATGTGACCTATTTTAGCCATAGGCCGTTGTCATTTACATATCTATTGCAGCAAATCCATATTTTAGGCAGCAATAATTATTTTCGGTCAAAACATACAGTACATAATTCTTGAGAAATCCCATGTTAACCTGAAAAAGGTTATTTTTTTGTTATCTGTTTATATAAACAGATGCTGCTTCAGTAAGATATCAGTATTATTTGATTTAATATCTCTCAATACTTGTGCCTACATGTAGAACTGATTTGGCAGTCACAGAGACTCAAGTGTGAGTTTGTATTTGCTATTGTTTACCCCAGAAATTGAAGCTGGTAAAAAACAGCAAGAAATGGACAGGAAAGCCATCGACGACCTTGTGCGTGAACGTGATATCCTGAATAAGAACATGTTGAAGGCTGCCAGCGCTACGCAGAAACAACTGAGCTTGGTGAAATTGCACGAACAGTCCAAGAAGAATCTGGAACAAGAAATCCAGAACTACAAGGAAGAAGCCCAGAAGCAGCGTAAGATAATCTATCAGTTGGAGAAAGAGCGTGATCGTTACATTAATGAAGCCAGCGAACTTACTCAGAAGGTACAGTTACGTTAATTATTTCACGTTCGTTCTGTTCAAGTTTTCAAATAATCTGTGAGTGAGGTTATTTCTTTGGTTTATAAGTTCATGAGAAACATATTTTAATTTGAGTGACATTATTCATGCAGGTTTTACAACACATGGAGGATGTGAAAGTCCGTGAAATGCAGATCTTTGATTACAAGAAGAAAATTGCTGAAGCCGAAACCAAGTTGAAACAGCAGCAGAATTTGTACGAGGCTGTACGCAGTGATCGTAACTTGTACAGCAAGAACCTGATAGAATCCCAGGTATGTTTTGTACATCAGTGATTTTTTCATATTATTTTTTTAATTTTGCAGATACCTTTTGGGCATTTTGAACCTCTACATAAATTCCTCAATGGTTGTATTTTGTGTAGTACATTATTATATTCAAAGATGCATTACTGTCAATGAACTTCATTGGTGCTACATCCTGTCATATTGATAGAGATGTTTACAAAATTGATTTTTCAAATTTATGCATGTAATATTTAACGAGATCAGTTCAGATCAGATCAGATGTACTGCAATTAATTATTCTACTAATATTTAACGAGATCAGTTCAGATCAGATCAGATGTACTGCAATTAATTATTCTACTGCATGCAGGATGAGATTACAGAAATGAAGAGGAAGTTGAAAATCATGAACCATCAAATTGATCAACTCAAGGAAGAGATCACTGCTAAAGAAGCCGCTCTGGTCAAAGAGCATCTGGATCATCAGCGGGTTGAGAAAGAGAAAGAGGCTCTAAAGATGGAGCTTCAGAGGATGAAACAACAAGCTGCTGAGAACAAGGCTTACATCGAATCGCAGGAGGCAGAGGAACGTAAACTCCTCAAGATCATCTCTGAAGCTGATGCTGAAAGACTGCGACAGAAGAAGGAACTAGATCAAGTAATAAGTGAGAGAGACATTCTGGGTACTCAACTTGTACGTCGTAATGATGAGCTGGCCTTGCTGTATGAGAAAATCAAAATCCAACAGTCAACTCTGAATAAAGGTGAGATCCAGTACCGACAACGCTTGGAGGATGTACGCCTGCTCAAACTTGAGATCAAAAAGCTGCGTAGGGAGAAGAATATTCTTAATAAAAGTGTGGCAAATGTTGACGACTTGAGGTAAGTTCAGTGTCATTTAACTGTAGTCACCACTTGTTTCAAATTTTATTTTTATTGATGCAATCAACTTCTACAATGTATATTGTTCTGATCTTATCCTGCTGATGTTTCTTGAACTTTTCAGGCGAGAAGTCTATCATTTGCAGCGAGAACTTCTCCGCGAGAGAACACGTTGTAAGGCACTGGAGGAGGAACTAGAGAATCCAATGAACATCCATCGCTGGCGTAAACTCGAAGGCAGTGATCCCAGCACATACGAAATGATACAGAAAATCCAAACATTGCAGCGCCGTTTGATTCAGAAGACTGAGGAGGTAGTGGAGAAGGAATTGTTGATTCAAGAGAAAGAAAAGTTGTACGTTGAATTGAAACATATCCTGGCAAGACAACCTGGGCCTGAAGTCGCTGAACAGTTGCAGATCTATCAGCAAACACTCAAAGAAAAAACAAAACAAATGAAAGTGAGTCATGTGTTAATACTCATTATTATACATCTGTCATCGTAACGCCATTTAATTTTGCGGTATTTTCATACTACCATATTAGGAAATGCGAAATCCAAATATGAAATTATTACGCACGTAAGCGTCCTCTAATAATAAAAACAAACATGGCTGCTACCAGAGTTTGACCGGACTCCACACAAAGAAATTCGCTGATTCTGTTGTAAACATTTTTGGATTTCGGCATTCCCGTAGTGTATCCTTGGAAGAAAAAGATATATAATAATAAGGTTATTACGAGGATATCTCAAAGTATGCACTCAGACAGTTCGCAGCCCAACGACCTCCACTGCGTGTCGGTCGATACTCCAGCTGTACTGTCTTCATGCATACTTTGAGGTATCCTCGTAATAACCTCATATTATTCTGAATGTTTTTTGATGTATCTCTGTCTGAACATCTGAATGCAAAATAGAATTTTTTCAGAATCCTGTTGATGTAACCAGTGATAAAAATGTATGTACATTTCTGAGTTATGCAATACCAAACTCTTGTGTTCTGTTGCTAGGCAATGTCTTCTGAATTAAACATGTACGAATCTCAAGCTAACGAGTATAAATATGAAATAGAGAGACTTGCTAGAGAGCTGCAAGAAGCTAAGAAAAAATACTTCATCCAGAAAAGAAAAGAGCAGCAACAAAGGTGAGTACATTTGGAAAAAATTTACATTTATTTTGGTTTGCATCTACTAAAATTATGTTTTGTGATTAGACATGTTTTTCGACATCCTCATAATCTATGTTGTGTGACTGTGACTGTGTTTTAGGATTTTTGAATGATGGGAATATACAATTGCAATCATCATTAAGTAATACATTGTGTTTTTACCAAAATAAATTTCTATATCCTCTAAAACTAAAATCGATATACATGTAATGTAATACATCCATAATAAAATAACAGGTGTCGAAAATAACGTCGTTTTTTGTTTACACTCATTAAAAAGCAGTATATGAATTAAAATGAATAAATAAAAGCAGTTGTCGAATGAGAGGTTATTAGTAGTTGTATTTATTTGCAGTAACAATTAATAAATAAATGAAAAAAAAATGTGTCATTATAACATCATTTTCGAAAAAATTACCAGGAATATTTTGTTGTGGCTGGCTGTTATGTTTATTTCAATGATATGCATGTATTGCCGAGTCTGATTACACATCACAAACACCAGTGACATTTTTATTTGACCTGGGTTCCTCCACTCATTCCTCACAAATAAGAGACTTATCCAATTTACTGGGACTATTTTTAAGGGTAACAATAACCAAAAGGGAATAGTGGTCCCATCCAACCATATGTCAACTATTACATTCACTAAAATATACTCTTTTTTTTTTCTCTTTCATTATATTACAGGGAGCGTGAAAGAGCTTTAGCACAGGCTGGTGCTCCAGTTATTCAACCTCAGCGACACGACGGACCAAGGTTCACCGGTGGAGGATTTAATCTCAAACCAAAAGAACTCAAAGCATCTTAAAACTAATTTACAATTAATATCAGATGCAACATTCTTCATTTGGACTTTGATTTATTTGTGCTACATGAAACCCATGTATCTGCTCCCTCTGGAATTGTTTTATATTAATTAAACTACAACAAGCTATACTGTTTGGTTGTTGTGGTTCATTATGTGATGTTACTTCATGTTATGTTGAAGCTGTGCATTCTTACTTCGATCAAAATGCAGTATGGAGTACTTTTGATTTCCCTGTGAGGAGATTGTGAAGTCTTTACTGCTGTCTGTAGGCTAATATGTGCCAAATTTTGTTGTGTGAATATGCGTCAGTTATAAGATACCTGGTTGAAATAACTTGGAAAGTCAATAACAATAATACATACACAGGGTATTGCCATAATTGATTATTATGATTATTAAGATTCTCCTGGTATATGCTTCTGAATGTTTTCTGATACACAATTTTCAGTTAACGAATTACGCAGCTTGATGTAATTAGGAACAGTAGATTAACATTTTATTTCCCACTATACTAGATGCGTATATTCACACTTTGAAATGTGTTACCGGTGTATACTGGTCCTGAGACATCGATAAACCTGTTGTAATCCCCTTGGTGTGTCAACTATGCAACTTGATTAAGTGTTCTCTTAGAAACATTAAATGTTATTTTCTTGAAATCTAAAACAAATTATTGAATTGTTATCTCCAATAAAATGTACCAATTATATTTTTTGTGTTTCCCCATTATTTCTCCATTATTGTCCATATTGAAATCACAAACTGTGTTGTACTATGCAAGTTCAGTTTGTCAGTGGTCTCCATAGCTTTATGGTCCAGTATGATGATGAATTTACAAATAAATGTTTCTATATCTTCTACATCCTTTATTGTTGCAACAGGCAACATGTTTTCCTTTTTTTGCTAATGAGTATCATGATTTACCCAATGAGACCTAGACAGCTTGAAAAGTCTAGGTTCATTACAATGAATATACTTAGCATATCTTTATATATGAAAATTCATGCATGTTGCTACTGCCTTGCTTCATCGATACTGAATCACACTGAACAACACTTTTTTGAAAAATATAAGGATTAAACTGATCAAATTGATTCTGTATATAATCTCATTCATACTAAATGCTAAAATCGTTGACACCTTTCCAGAAACCTTGTGACGAGTTGGGAGAGAGGGGCCACTAGTACAAGAACCTTTTGATGTACACGGTTGTCAGTCACAACAGCGCCCCCTAGTGGTAACATCTACTGTAACTTCCTTTCTGAAAGTTGTGCTTTGGATCATTTATTTGGAGCACAGTCCGCAGAGGGTCTGTGGTTGGAGGAAGTCTGAAGAAGAGCGTCCAGGAAACACAAATTCCTGTACAGTCCCAAATTCGTAGGGAATGGACATGGACACAAATACTGTTTGTGCCCAAGGATTGTGTGGTCGGTGTCTCGCATACCCATATATAAATAATACAACTTCTTACAAGTGATCCCCAGGGTCCGATTCCTGGACTAAGTAATGGTAAACGACTAGTTTGAATTAGACTGGCAAAGTCGGGACTTCATTTTTGTTTTACAATAAGAAATAATTAATTGTTTGAAGTGATCGCAAAAACTAACGTGACCCACAGTTCCTAAAGGGACTGTGCGTGACCGCTAGTTTTCGCGATCACGTTAAAAAGGCTAAATTGACAATTACCTTTTTTTTTTGTAAAACAAGAAAGAAATCCCGACTTTGTTAGTCCATGGAACTGGGTTTATAGTTCCATGGTTAGTCTAAGTTTGAATATATCCTTCGAATAACTTGTTTCTCTGATATATTATTTTCTGAGGGAATAAAAATGTTACAAATATAGAATAAACGCAGAAGGTAATGCTGAATTATTGAAAATTACCTGATAAAGTATCAGTTTATTTGGCAGATTTTAACAAAATTAAGTGTTTGCAGTTTGTTAAAGGCCCAGGTATTTCCTGGGAAGTCACGCTGTAGTCACGTAAAGAGCTCAAGCCAAGCTCCGGTAAAGACGCGTTTTCTCGAACTTTCAGGTCGATTACGTCGTGCCAAAGAGGATGTATGTGATTATAAATATCATATCAGCAGTGGCTGTGTGTAGTATTTATGACAATAAATATTGTACGAGTTTAGATTTTGTCGAATAAACGTCAAAAACGCAAACCGCAAAAAGAAACGCGCTACTAAGCTTGAATGTTGTCAATCAATGTCACGTGACGTTGGGCCGCTGAAACAGGTTGCGTCATCTAATCTCCAAAAACATTTACACAGTTCCTAATGTTTTTCTCACTGTCACATAGCGGATTCAACGAAGACAATGAAAATCGTGTTCGAAAATTTAAAAAGCCACCACAGAGAGTACGAGCCAGAAATACCTCTAGGCGTATTTTAGTGAAATGAATACTGCGTTTAGTATAGTTATTGTTACTCAACTGTTACTTGATGGTAAAGAACGTTTTCCGGAAATAGCGCAGCATATGACAGTGAATAGAACAGAAATGAGACTTGGACCAAACGATCTCTAGGATTGCCGATGAATGTTACATGTAACTCACCACGAAATAATTTACTGGCTTCTTCGTTCCCACTGCGCTGGCCCATAGACAGGCAAAATCGTGATTATTTTTGTTTTCTCTATTTTTTAACGTGACTACTAAATCTAGCCTGTATTATAGTCACGCTAACAGTAGGTGAACAAATGACTAAAATATATATTATGGATAATACAAGTTCAGACTTTTCTTGTCCAACCAGCCTTGTGCATATTGGGAAATGTACACTACATTTCTAATGGAAATCACAAGTATGAGGTTTGACCTGGGCGCGACTTGCACTAACTATCGCCCGATACTCCTTCGATACCTTCCAATCACCTAAATATACGTAATTAAAGCTTGGTAACATTTCAGTTTGTACTCGGTTATCTGCGCAAAAGCCAATGTCGCCATCTTCGTTTATATGAGACCCACATGTCTCGCGCATGCGTGGCGCGGCGACTGCCACCCTTTAACATCACAAACATAGTCACAAACGAATTACGAGGACAAACAAAAAAACGTCCGTTGTAAACCACCAGCTATTTCTCAACAAAATTTAATTTTCACATTTGTCTTACTGGAATCAGAGTCCAAATTATCTTTTGTTTCGATGCTGATACTGAGGCTTTCTTTTAATCTATACGCTGGTGCACAGATAGAGGAACTGTGGCTGGTGTAAAGAGACATTGGTGCGAATCACGAAGTGTGAACATGTTTAGTGAATCGTTCATTGCGATAGGATGAACCGTGGTTCTTCAAGTCAACCCTGCGAACCGATAAATCCTTCAAATTAGTATCGTGTCGCCAGGCTGTGATATGCAACTAAATCATGAATACATAGCATTACCCTGCATGATGTTGCAGTGTTTGTACATTATTGTTACATGGTATGTACGCGTTAGAATAACCCGCTCACTTACCTACAACAGCCTGGTGAAGCGATACTAGTTCAAGAAGAAGGAGACGTCTATAATAATAATCTTGTCACAGGTCGTGTATTGTAGTATCATGTGACGTTGCTGGGCCCCGACTCCACCCCTGCCAACGTGACCTTGGTAACTATTTGTTGAACACATTTTAATTTTAACATATTCACATTAAAATAATCTAGGATCCATGATTGTAGAACGAATTTTGTTCTATGGAACGCAGTGTTGAAACAGACATAGACACATTACTAACAGTGATTGCATTTCTTCTTTCATTTTTTTAAATTTCAATAGCTCTTCATAAATAGGTTTAGGTTTTTCAATAAACTTCTTAATCTCATTAGGCAACTCATCGAAAAATTGCATCGAGTGATCTGTTTTCATTTCGCGTAGGAACGTGCTGGATTCTACCGCTGACTTATAAGTCAGATCGTAAATGGGCGGCTTCAGCGTCTCCTTAACAACGAATGGAGCGACGTTGCCAGGCTCCCAGTTCAACATAGACTCAGAAAATGATATTCTAACTTCACTGCAAAATTTCTCTAACACGTGTCTTGGATTGCTGACCAACTCATCTGCATCAACTGTGATAGGTGCTTGATCAAGCTCTTCCTGTGCGTACATGGCAAGGCGTAACTGTGGCTCCAGCGTGCCTAGACACGTACTTGATTGGATTACTGAACCCGTCAAGACCATATCATTATCCGTTTCTTGGTTGCCATTGTACCGTGTTTATAAGTCTATTAAATTGAAAAAAAATAAATATGTCATTGAACATAAGCAATACATAATGTTTAGTGCAAAAATGAGTGAAGGAAACAGTGTATAACTGTTGTAGTCTTCGAATTTACGCATATATCGATTTTTCCAATATGGACACTACAGTGAAGGGCATATATAACAACTTGTAAATACAGATCACCAGTTTTCATTCAAATTCAAACATTTAATAACTTATTCAAAATGAGGCGCTAGCTGATTGGGTAATGTTAAATTAATTCATTAATATTAATTTGAACTAACAATAATATCACGATACCATTTCTAGAATGGCCAATTTGAAATCGAAATCCATTTTGATTTATAAAAATGTATATTTATAAAACAGTTATAACGACGGTCACCCCCCCACCTTCCGCCTTTCGACACCTTTTGTATATAGCTATATAATCACGATTACAGATCACAGTCAGATGGAGTAATTAAAGGGGCTTTAAATGTAGTGCGCCCCGATACACATGCCGCCAGCTGGTTGTGTGACAGATATACGATGGCGAAGGGGAAAGGTCGATGGACCATGGATGGAAAAACTAAGAAGTTATGTCAGGGGTTTGGACAATGAACACATGTGATTCATGTACTTATAATGATTCTAAAAATTGTTACAAAGAGTGTCATTGAAATAGTGTCAAAATATGAAAGGTTGGAAAGTAAACAGGCGAAAGGAGTTAAAATGCTTACATGTAAGCCTTTCATTGCCTACATCGGAACCGTGATGACTGGAAGTAGAGAGCTAACATGTCAAACGTGCAAGTGTAAAAAAAAACACGAAAGCGGTGAACTAAAATGTCAAACCTCAGACTAGTAATATTATTAATAAGGCCGAAAGTCAAGGGTTGCGGCGTCTCCCCATCGCATCGTCACGGCAACGCTGCAGGTCTCAGTAAAATGCAGGAAGCGTACGATACAGGGCATAAATGTGACACGTGCAGAATACTATCACCGTTGTCGGAAATAGATATGGATAGAATTATTATTTACTATTTTTACTGATATTGTGTATCGTGTTATACTGCTATATACATCGTTTATACCGTCTAAGCTTGAATGTAACAAAACGGGATACGATCTTGAACACTGTGCTATGAGCGAACGTGAGAGGCAACACCACAATAGTTGTATTGACCAATCACAGTATTGTATATTTGTATCTAAGTTTCCCCGCTCAAATTCAGAATCCCCACGAGGGTATATAAGCATCCATTGTAATTGTTTCAGGGCTCTTCTATGTTATGTTCACGAATAAACAACTTGTGTTCTACTCTTGAAAGTATTTGTCTTGTCTGACTGCTGGACTGCTGGTATTATAAAGAATATTACGTCCAAAAATACGACTTCCCACAACCGTGACGGA